CTGCTCGGTGGACAGACAGATCAAATAATTGTAATATTGATTCTGATACAGTTCATTTGAAGATATTATCTAAATATTTATTATTAATCATAACCAGTTATAATTAGTCATAAATATTTCCCTTTTTAGAGCTGAAAAACCCTACACCTATGTAAGCTCTATTCAGTATTATTCAGCAGCTTTTCAGCTTGCTCAGGAGCAAATTACCCTCCTCCATCCCCAGCTCCTCCTTTCGCCACAGTCAGGACTTGGCTTTCTGATATTCCTTGCTAATCAGACTCCTTTATCTTGAATAAAGTGTTACACTTAAATATCATTAAGTACATTAATGATAGCTGCCTTGTTCTGTTTTGTTAACCCTAGGGGGGTTATTATTGCTGCTCTCCCTGCTCATTCATGACAGGCTGCATGGATGGGCAGGGAGGTTTTTGCCCAGAACAGAACCATACCGCCAAACCAAACTTTGTTAAGTATCTATCATTTTGACGATAGTGGTCCTGACAGAACCACATTTATCACTCCTACACCATCCTAGTAATACACCAACATTACATATTACCCATCACATTACCCTCACCCATACAACAATTCCAGTCACTTATTATTAAAAAATTTGATAGATAATGGAATTCGAGAAAATTTGTACCTATTCATCTATTCATCAATTTGGTACCCTATCTGAGGGCATAAGCTCATACTTGTGTTGAATATGGCTTGGGTCAAAATAATTTTAAGACTTCCTAACAGACCTCTCAAAAATGTCCTGAAGAGAAAGGGGGGACAACATACCAATTATTTTTCCTGCTCTTCTAACCACATTTTGAAGTTGTGATCTAAGTTTAACAGTCAAATTGCCAAACCAAATTGTAAAACCCTAACATATGATAGTTTCAATACCTGGTCTGTAAAACAATAACACCCCAAAAACCTTTGAGCCTTCGCAAAAAATGCAGGCGCTGACTAGCTCGTGTACAAACATAGTCCACTTGATGACTCCATTGCAGCTGAGAATCAAAGTAAATACCTAAATATTTATGCTATTACCTGCTCAACGTCCTCCTTATTAACTAAAATTGGACTATGATCACCCACCAACCTCGGGTCAAAGATAATTTCTTTAGATTTTTTAACATTCAACATCAAGTTGTGTTCCTCACACCACCGCACAACCCCTTCTATCTCTAATTTATACATACCGACATCTGAATTCTTTGTCAGCAAACTGAGTATAGATGTATCATCTGAAACAGTTGATAATAAAGTTATTTATGTACTGATTTCTACAATCATTTGTATATAATGTAAAAAGAAGGGGGGAGCTTACGCAGCCTTGAGGAACTCCAACATTTGTGACCAATATTTCAGAGAAAGTTGAATTAATTTCACTTTCTGTTGTCGTCCAATTAGGAATGCATAATTCCATTTAATTATAATGGTTCACCTCCATCTGGTTTAACTTAAATAACACAATATCTGGAAGTAGAGTATTAAACGCTGAACTCAGATCCATAAACATCAGCTGCAGGATTTTCAAGGTGTTTTAGAATAAAATGTGTCAAAGTATTCAAAGCATCTTCTGTACTCCTATTTTCTTTATAAGTAAATTGATAAGGATCTACTTTATATACAATACATTCTCTCTCAATTTCTCTGTCACAATAAGTTAAAGTGATTTCATCACTATGGACGTTAACGCCACTGGTCTAAAGTCATTATTTTCCAGTGCTGGATGTTTTTTGGAACAGGAATAACGACTGCTTTTTTCCCATATTATAGGAATATTTCCAGTGTCGACTGATAATTGAAATAATGGACTCCAGGCTGGGGTTAATTCATCTGCAAATGTTTTAAGTAAAAGAGCTGAAATACCATCCGGCTCACTGGATTTTTTGGTATGCAGCCTTTTAAAGATTTTAGCGACAACACTTGGGTCCACTACAATCCTATCCTGTGTGAAATCACATGTTACTGAACTAAGCAAATCTCTACATTTATCAATACTACCACTCCCAGGCAGTTCAAACCGAATTTAAAAGTTATTAAATTCATTTGCTTTTTCAAATTCCTTTAAAACCTGTATTTCTTTCTTATTTGAATTTAAATGGATCATTCCTCTCACAACATCCCACAGCTTTTTAGAATCTGAAGTTGAAATGGCTTCTCTAACACATAAATTATGTTTCTCTCTGGCTTCCCTCAAGCTTCTTCTTAGTTAATTTCTCTGAACTCCATTGTATTATTATTTTTAAAAGCTTGATTTCTCCTCCTAATATATTGCTTAATCTCTGGGGTAATATATTCCTTATTATTTGGATATATCTTAATGGTCTTTTTTGGGACCACAGTATCAACACAAAAATGAATATACCCTGTAATTGTTTCCACAATACTGTCAATATTGTCATCTTGATAAAAAATGTCCCAACTTGTAGCTAGAAAACAACCACTCAACTCCTCTTTTGTAGTGTCCCGCCACACATTAACTGTTCTTAAAACTGGTTTACTCTTCCTAAAAGCAGACCTGTAAATAGGAATTAACTGGATGGTATTACGGTCCGAATTTGAAAGAGGAGGCCTAATC